AACGCTAGAGGATGGGAACCAGGTTGCTGTGAAGAGGTTGAGGGAGAAGACAACCAAAGGGCAGAAGGAGTTCGAAACTGAGGTTGCTGCACTCGGTAAAATTAGACACCCAAATCTGCTGGCACTTAGAGCATACTACATGGGACCAAAGGGAGAGAAGCTTCTTGTCTTTGATTACATGACCAAAGGAAGTCTAGCATCGTTCCTCCACGGTAAGTACTACGTAGCCATTAGGAGATCTTGCAAAGTTACTGTTATCTCATTTTCCCTTGTTACCTTGAATATTATTTTGGTACAGGATGGAGGATATTAATCACCACATGAAAGATATGTTGAGTATTTTAATACAAGTTATAGGGTCCCATAATTTCTGAGTGGATCTTATGAATTTTTAATAGAATATTGAATCTATGTATCTTAGACATTACAGCCAATATATAATCAGTTTGATGATATGAGCAAAGTTAAAATTTGAAGTGGGTGAAATCTTCATATTTTTTTTCATCGTGTTTCACTCGGGGTTGGTCACTTTCTTGTTCCTCTGTACTAAAATACTTGCTCTAAGATATTAGGACAAAGATTACAACAATTTTTGCATTATTTGTGAACTCCGATACTGATGTGTTTGTTCCATATCCAGCTAGGGGCCCGGAAATTGTCATAGACTGGCCAACAAGGATGAGAATAGCCCTTGGAGTAACCCGCGGCCTATGCTACCTGCATACAGAAGAGAACATAGTACACGGAAATCTCACCTCAAGCAACATACTCTTGGATGAGCAGACAAATGCCCATATCACAGACTTTGGTCTCTCAAGGCTAATGACCACGTCAGCAAACAGCAACATCATAGCCACTGCAGGAAACCTTGGTTATAATGCACCAGAGCTCACAAAGACCAAGAAACCAAACACAAAAACTGATGTCTATAGTCTTGGTGTCATCATTTTGGAGCTCTTAACTGGAAAACCTCCTGGTGAACCAACCAATGGCTTGGACTTGCCACAGTGGGTTGCATCCATAGTGAAGGAAGAATGGACTAATGAAGTGTTTGATTTGGAGCTCATGAGGGATGCACCAGCTATTGGCGATGAACTGCTTAATACCCTGAAATTAGCTCTTCACTGTGTGGATCCATCCCCAGCTGCTAGGCCTGAAGTTCAGCAGATTCTTCAGCAACTGGAGGAGATCAAGCCAGATTCTTCTGTGGATGATGATGGAGCAAAAGCCCCAGAAACCGAGCAAAAAGCCCCAGAAACTGAGCAAACTTGAGATTTGTTCTTATTTGATATATCACAGGGAGAATTTTCAGTTTCTTTATTGTAGGGGAGAAAGATAGATATCAAGCGAGACTTGGCAGATTTCCGTTCAGCAGATTCTGGAGCATATGTAGATCAAGCTGGACTTAGCTTCTGCCGCTTCAGAGGATGATGGAGCAAACGTCGCAGAGTTCTCAGTCGATTTCATTAATAGATTTTAGTCACTATCATAGGAGAGAAAGAAATATGATGTTCTTGGTTTCTTTTATTCTTTTATTGGTTTATTTATTTTGTTATGTATATAGAAGCCATTAATAGTTGATTCTTTTATATGTACTAAATTTTCTGAATAAACTATATACTTCCATTTGATTCTTTTGGTATTAAGTGTGAGAATACTTGATTTGATGTGGAAGGTCTACTCGTCAAAGTTTTGAAGTATACGATGTAGAGATTACTTATATGTATGCTCTAATGCTTTTAAAAAAAAAAGAAATTTTTTAGCTTTCTTTTTGCATTAAGATGTACTGTCAAATTCATTTGTCCGTATCTTTTCCTTTGAGCAGAATTTTTAAAATGAAAAAAATAGATAAAGGCCATGATATATGATGTAGTTTTAAGCCTACTTATATGTATCCTTCTATCATTGTTAATGGGATGGCGGCATATTGTTCTTCTCCTCTGATAGGAAACCAACCCAAATCCAAGCACCCTCCATAGCAGGAGACACTAGAAGTTTTATCAAGTTCACATAACAAAACCAAGAAACAGATACTTGACATCAAACTCGTCTTCAATTTTAAAGATTGAGGCTATTGACATGTGAGCTATGAACCCATTTCCAGAATTCAACTGCTGAAAAATGAAGATTCTAACGCGCCAAATACGACCTTTAGGAATCATAAAAATAGAAGGAAAGAAGAATAAAAGGTAGTTGAGGCTGTTGCACCATCCTCACAAAATCTCATGAACCATAAGGCACCCATTTGTGCAGTACCAACAAAAAGCAGTAGAGGAGGCTCATCAATGTATGGATATCTTGTTGTATCTGATATATATAGCAGTAGTAAATTTTTTTTTGGGGTTAATATCATTGTCTATCTTTATAGTTTGATAAAATTTTGGTTTTGACCTTTGTAGTTTCAAATTATTGGTTTTAGTTCTATAGTTTCATAATTTTTTGATTTAATAAGTTTTAGTTTTGGTCTCAATATTTAAACTTAGATCAAGTTCTGATGAAACTATATGACCAAAGCCAATGATTTAAAACTATAAGAATCAAAATCAAAATTAAATCAAACTATATGGATTATCCTTCTCTATACTGTTGTGTGGTACATGATCTCAATTCTCTCTCAACCAAATTAATTGTTGGCTATCTTTCTTGAGAACAAGTCACAAATTGAAGTTTACCTCAGTTCGTAAAAAGCACAAAAACCTTACCTTGTGAATGAATCTTGTAGAAATGTTGAACTTCTCTCTGTAGAAATTAAACTGTGAATAAATCTTCAATATACGCTCTCAAGGCCATAAGATGATGATTTCAGTGGAACTTTCTGTCCAAGAAATCCCTCCTCCCTCCCCCTCTCAACGCCTTCTATCAATTTCAAACCAAAAAGTAAAACAAATTGTTATTAGTTATTTCAATGACAAAGTATGTTGTATTTAGGAGTACCAAGTAGTATGATTCAAGCCAATTCAAACTCATCTTATTGAGCTTTAAAACAAATTGTAAAATCTAGGTAATGGATCCAACAAGGGCCATTCTTATATGAACTCTTTGAATTTGTTGGTGTGATGTGATCAATAACATTACATTTTGACCCCAAAAAAAAATATTACCTCCGGTTATTAGTACAAAACCTTATTTGACTTTTATTTTGATTCTAAATATAAGACCTCAATCTATTTTATCTTTCATATTTATCTTTTTTTTTTCAAGATAGTCCTTTAATAATGATAGTCCTAGATAACAAATTTGATTTGTAAGGGTATTTTAGAAAAAATAATATTTATTCATTACAAATAACTAATTTAATTAAATTTCTTAATCTCTTCAAACTAGTCAACCACATCTTATAATTAGGGTCGAAGGTAGTATATCAATAACATTACATAATACCTTCCTCAGTGAGTATAAATCAATCGCCATCAAATGATCAGTCAATGGCCTTTTTTATTTTTTATTTTCTGAAGGGTACGTTGCACTGAATATTCCATATGTATGACTTTGTTTTTCATGTTGCAACGCATATTCCAGACGTTGTTTAAATCAAATCATCTTTAATCATAGCAATGCTATTGAGGAACATCAATCCTTTCATGAAACTACCCAAAGCTCATACTTCACTAAAATCTAACGTAAGATCAGTCGAAGTTGGCAAAACAAACCTGGAAAATGATAAGAAAAAATCAGAACTAAAAATAAAAAGGTGATGACGTGATGCATGATGAAATTTATCTGGATATTTCGACCAAATTTCTTTTTAAGAAAAATTTGCAAAACTTAACTGCTTCACGGTGATTTAATATCTAAGTGGCCTCTAATAATAATGGGTTAATATGTATTCAACATCCCAAGTATTTTTTCAAGTACATTCAGCACTCTAAAATATTATGTGGTGTATGGAGTAATTTAAAATATTTTTAAAGTGTATTCAACACCCTCAATTATTTCTTTCTTTGTGTTGGATGCATCAAATAATATTTTAGGGTGCTGGATGCATTTAAAAAAATAAAAAATAATTCATGATGCTGGATATACTTTAAAAATATTTTAGGATGTTGGATGCACCAAAAAATATTTTAATGTGCTAGATGCACTTGAAAAAGTATTTTAAGATGCTAGGTAAATCATAAAATATTTTAAGATACTGAATACATACGAAAAATAATTTGGAGTGTTAAATGTATCTTAACCTAATAATTATGGGTGATTTAGTTAATGCCGATATCATTAACTAATCAGTTTATTCATTGCTTCTCATGCCTCCTCCTCCTTTTCTTTAGGCGTGGAACTTTATATGTCTCCCATCGTTAATTTTCCAATCGCTGGGTCCTATTTATAAACTAAGTCAATATTTCGCGAAATAATTTTAATATTTAACAATAGTTAATCCATACATTAAAAATTTTAATTTTCAAAAACAACTTGTGGAAATCAACTCAGACTTGGTAAAAAAAACTTTAGAAAAATATTTTTACATAAATTAAGATAAATTTTTTACATATTTATTTTATATATTGTAAAATAATTTTAAAATCATGATTTGGTTTGCTGGTGAGCTTTCTAAAACATTACCCTAATTATGAATTACCATTTTATAATTTTTTTTTTAAAAAAACCACTTGTGGTACCTTTTCTTCTTTTGTTTTATGTAATTATTTATATAAGAAATGATTTGAATAAAAATAAAATTTTAATAATCAATACTACATTATTTTATGAGAAAAATCAAAAGACGTATATGGATAAAAAGGGAGCCCTTCATGGCGAAGGAAGCTCCGCGGATGAGTGTAAAGTCTCCGGAGGGACTTTCTGCCACGTGGCAGTAGCAATTATTTTCGCAATTCTAAATCTGCCACGTCATCTCCCGGTGCATTGAGGATATGAGAAGGATATCACCCTCCCCACTTGAACAGTTTCTTGGTTCCCACGTCAAAGATGACGTTAGTAATGACATCTCTGGAACACAGTAATACAAAACCCTCTCAAAACCCTCAAATACAGATTCGCAAACACAAAACTCACATCTTCAACTACTGCAGAATTTGAAGGCGCATGACGACTGATACCCTTCGTGGGTATGTTTTTTCTCCGTTCATCTAAAGTTATTCATCACTCCATGCTCCTGAAATCTCAACTTCTCTTTCATTTCTTAAGTTTTTCTCTTCATCTCTTCTCCTCATTTCGTCCGAGTTTTTCTCTTCATTCCCTTTTCCTCTTAACTTTCCGGTGTTTAATTTGTGCTTTGTGTAACTAGTTCTTCCATGAGCTTTCATGTTTTCGTATGAAAATGGATCCATTTATGATTTCTGGAAGAGAGAGAGTACTTTCTGGGTTGATGCGTGATATGAAACTACGAATAGCAATTTTGAGCTTTGACTATTTATCTTGGACATATAGCTTGATCTGTTTCGAAATTTTAGCAAATGATTTATGAAACTCTGTAAATAGTTTCCTTGAATGTGTCAATGAAATTTTACCATTTTAGCAAATGATTTATGAAAAAGTCTGTTATGAAAATCTTGTCAGTGATTTAAGATAGAAGCTGCGCATGGTTCTCTCTTGAATTTGTAATTGGCCAGTATCTATGAACCACCAATACTTCCCGAGAAGAGTCTTATCATCACTTTTCAAATTGTACTTAAAAGCTAATATTTTAATACTAGGTCATCTTCTCGACCTGTATAGGATCTGTGTTTTCTTCTCGTCCTAGTATGAGCACCAATTTTGAGAATTCTAAACAGACTTCTGTTGTGGGTGGTGACTGTAGGAACAAGACATCGCGTAAGAGACGAAGAAGCGAGAGCGACTCTGTCATAGACACTCTTGAGAAGTGGAAGAAGTACAACAGTGAGCTTGAATTTGTAAAACATGGAGCAAAGAAAGCGAGTCTCAGGGTTCCAGCAAAAGGCTCGAGAAAGGGTTGCATGAGAGGCAAAGGTGGGCCTCAAAACTCAGACTGCAATTACAGAGGAGTGAGGCAGAGGATTTGGGGCAAATGGGTGGCAGAAATTCGTGAACCCATTACTGGAAATCATACTACTGTGGGAAACAAGAAACCGAATCGCTTATGGCTCGGCACTTTCTCTACTGCACTTGAAGCTGCCCTTGCTTATGATGAAGCAGCCAGAGCCATGTACGGTCCTTGTGCTCGGCTGAACTTTCCTGATTATAACATGGAAGGAGAAGAAGATGAAGAACCCACATGCTCTAATGAGGAAACAGAGAAGAAACATGAGGCTGTTCTGGTGAAGACCGAAGAAGAAACAGAGGAGGAATGGAATTCAGGGGCTAGGTATGAGGATTCTGGTGTCATTGAAAGTGAAGCTTCCTTTGGGAAGAAGCAGATGGAGGAAATGAGTTCTGATATTCTGGGATTTTGTACATTTGATCCCTCTCAAAATGAGGAATATAAAGCTTCTATAGAGAGAAAATTTGAAGATGAGGAGGGTTTGAACAATTCTGGTTGTGGAAGCTTCATGTTTGAAGAAAAAGGAACTGATGAGTGGCAGAGTGGTCATTTGCCTGTGCGTCTCAATAACATGAAGGCGGCAGACCTGGAAGCGGCTTATTATGACTACAGTTTCTTGAGACCTGATTATGACTTTGGCTTATTGGAAGAGAAAAACTTACTTGGTATATGGTTTCCACATTTAGCTTCTTAAATCAATCATAATGCTTGTTTCTGCTTTTGTTTCTGTTTTTTCCATTTTAATGGGGTTGTTGCAATATGCTTTTTCCCCCTTAAAAATGAGCTAATAAGATGCAGTTTCTACTCTCTGCTTTTTCCATCACAATCACTTTACGCACAAACGTAATGTACACTCTACCATACAATATTCTCTGTTTTAAGTTTGTACTAAGAGTTATGAACTGTAAATTCTGCGCTTTTGTGTTTATGGGTTGTACCATATGTGGCACTTTCTTTCAGTGTTGGATAGGTTCTGCCTTTCCAACTTATTCGCCGTGATTTTTCGACTTATGTCATGTTAAGCTGTAAAACAAATTTTAAATGTCATATTTCATTAAAGAACATGACAAGTAATATTTCAAAGCTGTATCAAAATTGGGTCTTTTTAAGCTGCTTAGAGGACGACAGGAGTGTCACTGTCAGAGAAAATGAGATGGTAGTGTGAATAATGACGACATTTTATGAGTTGCCTGTTGTTTTTGACTTTAAAACCCGAGATTCCGGTAAGAACATGAATATAGCTTACTCGAAGACAGAAAATTTTTTTTAAAAAAATCAGCATAGAAAACTATCATTATCATCAGTATGACAAAGGCAAATGGGAAAAAAGGGGGTACACAGTATTGCATTTGAATCTCCCACATGATAATGGATTTTGTTATAAAATTATGGTAATCAGATCATCACAACAAAATTTAAATTACAATCTAACAACTTGGTTGATGATCGCAAAAGAAACAAGGAAGGGGTTGGGTGAATGTGAGAGTGACAGCTCTCCAAAAAAATTACATAAATTCCGAACAGAAGTTAAGATCCAGATGACGACCTGATCCAAGAAAGAAAGAATTTTGAGCGACCCCATCTTCACGATGCCCACCAAGAACCCTAAGTGCCACCAAAACAAATGCATCATGACTATGCAGCGCACCTTTGAGGAGTGTCTTGCAAGGAAGATTTTCAAGCGTGACTGTTTAGAAAAAAATAAGTAGACTTGGTCTATCCTTCATAAACAAGTCTACCTAAAAATCGTTGCTAGGGGTATTTCGAATGTGAGGCTCCGAATCATGACCCGATCCTTTCAAGATTTTCAGAGACAGATTTCATTCTGGGCCGAACCTCAGGGTCTCCCTCAGTGCAAGCTAGTGCTACATGAAACACAGCTAGAACCTCTTTCTTGGCATGAACTTCTTGGAGCAGGGATGGATCAACCATTTCTGATAATGGACTTTCTTCTTCAAACCCTTTCTTCACCCATCTTACCAAGTCAGGAACTTCCACAGAAGTTGATGCTGCCGGAGATGACTCTGGGGATTTCCCAGTAAGAAGTTCAAGCAAAACAACTCCGAATGAATAGACGTCCCATTTCTGGGTTGGTCTGCAGCCAGGGACTCTTGCTTCAGGGGCCTTGTAATTGTTGGTTCGCTCTGTTTGAGATGGTTTCATGTATGGAAGAGCTCCGCCCATGAAGCCGCCAGAGGAAGGATTATTTCCAGTGATGGTGATGAGGCGATTGAGGCCGAAGTCAGAGATGTAAGGGTGAAAGTCGTTGTCAAGTAGAATGTTAGAGGGTTTTATGTCACCATGAACGAACTTTCTTGGACTGCATTCATGGAGATAGGCCAACCCCCTAGCTGTTCCTTTGGCAATTCTTAGCCTCGTTGACCATGAAAGATTCGGAGACGGCTGACCATTTCTTCCTGCATTATCAATCAGTATTAATCACTATCTGCACTGAACTGAAATGGCAGAAATTGTTTTTAGAGAAGATTTGAACATCTAATACAAATTGCAAATGTGGATCATGTGCAGAGTAAAATCTTAATGTGCAATTCAACATAGAGGAACATGTCCTTTTTTTGGGTGAATGCATAAATAGACTAAAATATGAAGGCTATTGTAAGGGGTAGGGGACATAAGATTAGCTTGAGAAATATGTCCTTGAAACCTTCAAGAAGGGAACTGGAAATTTAGATCAAGGCAATGCCCCAAAAGGCAAAATCACCGAACCCTTGGAAGTTTACTTTATTTATTTAATAATAAAGATGGGGTACAGTGGAAGCAAGGAAAGAAAGGGACCCGGCTCAAAAAGCCGCAAGTTAGCGTTAAAAGTTGAAACAACAAAAAGCATCCAATTGGAATAAGAGGTTCAACTTTTACTTGGGTTGATAGAAAGTCCCAAGAGTGGCACAGACTTGTGCGTGTTTTTTCTGCAGACAGAGATTCGGACTTCATACAGAGCTGCTTTCCAAGATACGAATGAAGCTGCAATTTTCATGAATGTGCAACTTTCTCAGGCATGCAAAAGACTCCCGCCCTGCCTTCCTGCCAACAAAGGTCGGCTATTTCTGGTGTCGACGAGTCTTCAAACCCAATTCATTTAAACTTCTTTTATAACTAAAATTAAAAAAAAAAAAAGCCTCCCTCTCTATCCAAAAAGAAACAAAAAAATTCCCCATCCCCACCCCACCACCCTGCCCTCCCCGCTTGTGGATTAAACACAAAACGATAACACCTATCCCGTTTTTCTAATTTTCCAATACCACCTAAACGGATTCGTTGTGTTGAGTGGCTCAAGGTGGTGTGTAATTGTGCAAATGGCTAAGTGCAAGATGCGGGTCCCCCCACATGAATGCCACTTAATTCCCCCACAGATCGTGAATGTCATTAGCTATGTACTTCTTCCTGCCCCCTGACATGACCCTAGAGCGACGTCATTTCACCATCTTCTGACCAAACGTTTCCTCGGATCTAACGCCCTCTACCCCATTCTCAATAAATACTATTCATCAACTCAACCGGTTCACCTAAACTCATAATTCTTCGCTCAGATTATTTTATTTTAGGTCAATCAGAGCATCTATTGTCCAACAAATCAACCATGTTGCAGTTGCCCAAAAACGACACGAAGCAGACAAACTCCGATTTTAACTTCTCTATTTCTGGCCTGCTCTTTGAAATTAGCATAATCTCTCGTTGGCATGGTAGAAAACCACATGCTCTTGATCTTAATTATGTCGGGAATCCAAAAATTGTAACCTCTCCTAAAATGACTAGCAATCCAAGCTCAAAAGTGAAATTAAAATTAAGCAAAAATATCGGTTGGCATGAAAAATATAAAATCCAGACAGAACTCGAAGTGGGCAATTCAAAGACCTTATTTTTACTATCTCATGAAAAGCCAATAATTTCTGGGGATTTAAACCGAAGATGCCGTGAGAAAGAACAAGCCAACTCAACCATATTCCAAATCATTAAAATAATACAGTAGGATAAAAGCCTTAAATAAAGTTTATATTCCGTTCACATTCCACATGGGTAATAAATTATAATTAACCAACATGAACGATTCCATTTCATTAAAACTTGCTATCAGTGTTATTCTGCCATTATTGGTTCTCTACGGAGCAGAATAGAAACGGAAGTCAACACCCCCTTCAGAATGATTGCAGCAAGTGAGAGCAAACATGAGAAACAGAAGAAAAATTGGCATGAACGATTGAATCAAAAGAATTTACCTCGAAGAGCAGTGGCCAGATTGCCATTGGAGATGAAATCACTGATCAGAAGCTTTTCGTCTGGCGCCCAATAATAAGCTCTCAGCTTTACAACGTTAGGGTGCTTCACCTTCCCAATGGCCTGAACCTCTGCCGCAAACTCCTTATACCTCTGTTCACCACCCTCTCCGAGTCTTCTAACAGCCACAGGCACCCCATTTCCGAGAACCACTTTGTACACAATCCCCAATCCACTCTTTCCCAATACATAAGCCGAAGCCCGGAGAAGTTCATCGAGCTCGAAGTTGAAACCTTTATCAATGGCCACCAAATCCCCTTCCCCTCTGCCATCCTCTGCCTTTTCAGGTTCCTCTATTTCAGAGTCATCACTTTTTAGACCACTGATGCATGGGAAGGAACAAATATGTCCTTTCTCATTCCCGCCAAACTTGCTCTTCCCTGTGCAGCTACATCCATTGGAGTCGTCCTTCTTTTTCCAATAAATGTACACAACTACAAGGCCAATCAACGCAACCGCAGCAGCGTCAGCCGCTGAAATTAGTATGATCAAACCAGGACTAAGGCCATTCCTCGAGTGGTTGTCGGATTCCCGAGATGAACTTGGACTCCCCGAGGAGCCCTGGTTCGAATTACCGCAAGATTTCTGGAGGGGAAATCCACATAGCTGCGGATTGTTCAGAAATGCGGTAGGACCCTGGTTAGCGAACGACCCCGTTTGGGGTATCTCCCCGGTTAGATTGTTATTCCGAAGATCAAAGCTCACTGCAACTGGCAAATTCCCCAGCGATTTCGGAATTTTACCAGACAAGTGATTAAAAGAAAGGTTGAGCGTACCCGATAGAGATTTCAGTTCGCCAATATCGTCCGGAATCGGCCCGTCCAGCTCGTTGGCAGAAAGGTCCAATTGAACCAAATTATCTAACTCCGACCACACACCTTTAGGTATCTCCCCAGAAAACTTGTTCCCAGCAAGAATCAGTCTTTGCAACTGCTTGCAGTTCTTGAGTTCCCCAGGAATGTTACCCGAGATGGAGTTATTGGAGAGATCAACGTTTTGAAGCCGGGGGATGTTGCAGATCGAAGGAGGTAAAGGGCCGGAGAGGTTGTTACCGTAGAGAAAAAGACTGTGCAGCGAAGAGGCATTGAAGAGCTGAACAGGAATAAAACCGTAGAAATTGTTGCTGTGCAGATTGAGCCTGCGAAGATACCCCAAGCTTCCGAGCTCAGAAGGAATATACCCCCGGAGATTCTTACCAGAAAGAGTGAGTCCAACGACGCGAGGCTCCGAGGAGCCGGAGACGTTCATGCAGGAGATTCCAGACCACTGACAAGGAGTGGCGTCACCATCATTCCAGTCGGGGAAGGCCGAGGCTCCAGGAGGCTGGTCAATGGCTGATTTGAGAGACAAAAGGGCGAGCCCATCGGAAGAGAGAGAGAAAGAGAGCTGAGGAAAGAGGAACAGTAACAAGAAGAAGCAGCAAGGAGTGCTCATGGAGTGAAGATATTATGGGACGACGAGGGAAAAGTGGTTATGGAGATGGAGAGAGTGGAAGCACAGAGAGTGAGAGGGAGGAGGAAGAACGAGAAGTGGGGGGAAGTTGGGGAGATGAGAGAAAGAGAGAGTATTTAAGAGAGATGGGAAGGACGAGATTTTAATCGGAGGGTCCCACACAACGCCCCCGCCAAAAAGCAGAGAATGGAAGGATGATCGGACTCGCCAACGGTAGAGTAAAGTAGAAGAGAAGCAAGTCGCTGGGAGCTCTCTGTTTCTTATTTCCGCTTTCAGGGCTTGGATTATACGATAGCTGCTTATCTCAAGTACTCTTCATTTTTTGCCTTAATACGGTTTATATATATATTGTCAAATTTATTTAAATTAGCAATATAATGTACCATTTTAATGTGTTCTTGATGAGAAGTTTCTGCATCTTTTCCAAATATTTGGAGTCATTTATTCAGTTAATTGAATTATATTGGGGTACGTGTAATGATTTAACTGAATTCTTAGTGCTAAGCATGAAAATACTCTTGCTAAATTGTGAACTTCATCCCGCTTGAAACGTCAAGCTGTTAATATCTACCCATTTAAATAAAAAATGGCATTCTTATGATAATGTCTCTATTAGCCATGTGTTACGAAATACCGGGTCATAATTTTTTTAAAATTAAAACTTGATTATACACTTAAAACTTAAAAGTTCCAAACAAATGAGTTAGGATTTGGAACAAAACAGAAGGCTTCATAAAATTTAATAAATTACAAGCTAAGATTCAAATCCCTGTTAGGAAATATGCTCATATTTAGTGCCTGACAATATCTTGAATAAGATTGCTTCTAATAGAAGTATACCTATGCTTTAGTCAAAAAAATTAAATAAATTAGTTTCTCCAATAATTTTTTAGATTTTTTTTTGGTTTTAAAGCATGCAAAAGGTTAAAAAAAATTGTGACTGCTGATACAAGTTGAAAATAAAATAAAAAGTCACAGTAAAAGATATTAAATTTGAATATCTCCTACATTTGACTTGTACAAGTCAAAATTGAAAAAATAAAAAAGAACTAAAATAGAAAATTCGATTAAAAAAACAAGTAGTTGACATTTGCTTAAATAATCAAGTCCTCTGCTTTTTTTTTTTTTCCGAATATTTTTGCAAACGAATATATAGTTTTCTCCAATGAAAAATGGTTAAAAAAAATCAATGAATGGAAAAAACTAGATTTAAGGTGCAAATTTGCTTTGAAAATTTAAAATCGTAACAATATTATCATCTATCATATGAATAAGTAATTAAAATCTTAATTTCAAATCCCATTTTGTCTTGTTAACAAAATGAATGAACTTTAGTTAATTTATTCTCTATAATAAATTAATCTAATTCATATTTATGTATGTATTTTTTCATATAAAATCTTTGACAGGTTATAATATTTATAAGGTAAAGGTAATTACATGGTATATATAATTGTATGTGAATAATTTAAGACAGTTACCCTTGAGAGGTAGAGGGGAGATCAAATTTTATCTGTTTCTTTTTTTTTTTTGGGGGGGGGGGGGGACCTTATAATGTACTGTTATTGGCACGACCTATTCATTAGTGACACTCATACAAATTCCCTTTCCGCAACCAAACCCCACTTTGTTGTTCTCAAACTTATAATAATAGTGGCACAGCTTCACAAACACTTTCAATTCTGTTTTTTGTGCATCTCATTATTGATGCCAATTAAATTCCAACCCGTTGTATAGATATTCCAACTCGTTGTGTAGATATTGGCTTGCTTTCTTGCATATATGGCCTATGATGTAATTATTTAATGGTTGAGTAGTATAACTCTTTGGTGATAATTGCATCTGCTTTTTAATCATTCTAAGCAAACTTAGAAGCTAACAAATATATATATGTCTCACACGAACTTCTATATGCCTTTCTTCTTCTCCTCCTTCCTACTCTATTACCCATCATTTCTTTCGCCCAAATAAACAATACGTTAACAATAAGTCATGATCAATCCTTTATTTAAGGGTAATTTATCTTAGTTTCCCTCTAGAAAAAAAATTGATTATGGATGATATATGGAAAATAATATATTGATCTCTCTCTTTGTTTTTTTTTAATTGTTTGCAATTTAGATTTAGAGTAAATAGCATCCATCACCTTAATATTATTTGTAGTGTATTTAATATCTTGATATTATTTTTTCTGGTGCATCCAACACTTTTCGAATTATCTTATGATGTTACCTTCAGATATTATTTTCCAATAAGATTAGGGTGCTAAAATCGCAAGAAAAATAATATTTAAATATTGGATGTACTATAAATAAGATCATGATGTTAGATGCATATGAGAAATAATATTAGAATATAATATTGGGTGCTAACTTACTCTTAGATGTATGTAGTAGATTTTTTTATAAGAGACAAGCATCAACAATTTGAAGTTACAAGAAAGATTAAACTTGCCACCTCCCATTTACATTCACAAAGAGTATTTCATACCATTAAACTATGTAAACTTTTGAATCAAGCCACCATTAACACCTTTGGAGTCCTTTTCTTTCTACTAGTTTCGTAAGGGGAAAAAGGCTGAAATTTTAAAATAATTTCGTTCAATAATTCAATGGTGAAGTTATGAATTAAATTCGAAACATAAAGGAAGCATTCTTTTTTTGGTCATAAACATAAAATGACTTTAACGATGATAAGTTCATATGCTCCGAAACAAGACATTATAAATATTTCCAACGAATAGTTTATTTATTTGTTGGGGACCACCTTCCAACCAAATATACATGCAGACAGTTTTGAGAGACTAAATAAGGCTTTGCTTTGGTTTAAAGATTGTGAAGATAGGTTGGTACGCATATTAAATTCCAACAATAAAATATTTGCCCCCATAGATCCTCTTCTATGTAATTTTTTCAAAAAAAAAAAAATTGAGGTATATCCGGTACCCAAAATATTTTTTCAGATACATCCAACATTCTTAAGTATTTTGTAATACATTCAGCATCCTAAAATACATTTTAAGCGTGTCTAGCAATGTAAAGTATTTTTTTGCCTTGGTGCTTGAAGCACCAAAAAATATTTTTGTGTGTTAGACGCACCTAGAAAAATACTTTAAAGTGCTGGATGCACCAAAAAATATTTCAAGATGTTGAACACACTTAAAAATATATTTCAGGGTGCTTGATACATCACAAAATATTTTAGGATACACGATGTATACTAAAAAATATTTCGAGATACTAGATGCACCTTAATTCTTAAATTTATGAGTTGTCAAAAATTGTGGTTAATTTTTTTAAAAATAATCGAATGTTGAGTGATTTTTATATGACTTTTTTTTAAATGTAATAGTTCGTTGCAATTTGCTGATAGCTTTTGTTGTCTATGGATGGCTGTAAGTACCAAAAATATTTAATATAATTTTTGTTAAGTTCACGCATCTTAAATGCAATTTTTTTAAATATTCTATTTCTATGATTTCACCTCAATCTCCTTTGGCGTTAATAAAAAGGACCTCCCAGCTCAGTTTATGTACCTTCAAGTTTAAACCACCCCTATTTGTATGCCTTTATTCCCAATTCCTTGGAAATCTTCTCGTTGCTATATTAAGAAGCATAAACTCGGACATAAAATGTGATACAAGTCCGATGCTTGTTATAAAATTCAGTTAACTAATTTAAAAAGATTAAAATTGTTACTAAATTATTTTAAAAAGTTTATATTTATTATTTTTTTCAAACTAATTTGTTTCACTTATAAATTGATATACTATCTCCCGTCCTAATTATAAGAGCCAGTTGACTAATTTAAGGAGATTAAGGAAGTAAGTTGAGGTAGTTATTTGTCTTAGATAGATATTGTCTTTTCTAAAATATCTTTGCTAATCAAGTGTATTAACTAAAACTATCATTGTTAGAAGGGCTACTTTGGAGAAAGAATATATAAATATGAGAGATAAAATGGATTTGGGTCTTATATTTAGGACCAAAATAAAAGTCAAACAGAGTCTTATATTAAGAATCAGAGGTAGTATAACCTAATAATATACATAAATATTTTTAAAAAATTATGTAATATATAATATAATTAAATGATTTAATTTTTTTTATTTTTAATTTACATAATATAGTTTTATATTAAGAACAGTAAGTGATATTTGTGATACAGATTTTGGAAACAAAATTTTGCTTTGGGGCCGATGTGTATCTCGTATGGACATAGCTTGGACTTTAACTACCTTTCCTTTGTACTTTCTCCATCCACCTTAAAATAATGAATATTCTTTCAAGTTTCATTTTGTCGCATTAGAATTTTAAAACATTATGGGTTATTTTTATATTATTTTACCAATCAGTAAAGAAAACAGTAATAGTATTATATTTTAGGGAAAATTGCTGGAAGAAACACATATTATAGAATCCCTTGCTCAAAAATACTCAAGGAGCAAGGATTCAGTGCAATTGAGACAAATTTTGGATACCTTTAGGGAAGAAAATTTGCAATAGAGGATTTTTCAGCAATTTTTCCTAGATTTTATTACAATATAAACTATCTCCCTCAGTCCTTATAACCACAAATTATATGTAAGTTTATAAGTTAGATAAATTAGTTTGAGAAAAAATTAGAAGTATGAAAAAATGAATTTAGATCTTTTATTTAAAACTAAATCCAACTATTAGCTCTTCTATTATAAATTAAACGCAAATTTTTTTGAAGTTTTGCTTGATATGGGAATGAAGAACTTTCAAAAAGATTTTTTTAAGAAATGGCTTATAATTTTATAAATATTTATGAAATAAGAGGTAAGTATGTGAAAAGAATTTTATTTTATCTTATATAAAATATATTCATAAATATAAATGTTTATCAACATGATTTCAAATAAGATCTAAAAAGGCTTCAAAAAATCGAAGACAGACAACCGAGTTAGGGGGCCCTCTGGCATAGTGAAAAGAAAGCCTATCCCCCCGTGATCAAAATTTTTTTTGATAGCAGTACTTCACTGAACCCTATCATCTTGGGATATGCACGAATATTATAAGATATTGACAAAAAAAAAAAACTCTTTCAATTTTTAGTATAAAATCTATTTAACTAATTTAATTAGATTAAAAAAGTTAAATAAATTAATTAATTATAAAAAATATGATATGTTTTTTTTAAAACACTATAATCATCTTTTTTTAATATCTTCTCTCTTCTTTGTACTTAATTATGATTGAGGAAGTATCTATAAAAATAATATAAAAAAAATTAATCAATATAAAAAGAAAGCCTTATATTTAAAATTAAAATTAATTTAATAATTAGATTATATATTAATAACCAATAAAATAATAAATAGATATCTAACACATCTTTTAAACTCATCCCAAGGAGATAACCTCAAACATCTATTCAACTCAAAAAAAATTTAAAGGTAACCTCAATCAAACATCAGTGGGGCAACGTGTCTGCACTGTTAATATGCAAATGTGAAAAGTAGAGACAAGACAATGGTATCGTTGTCTCACAATATTTCATGCCTTTTTTCAAGGGGGAAAAAAATTAAAATGCAATTTTAACAATACTTTTATTTTTTAAGTACATTTTTGTTTCTGTCTGTTTTAGTGGTGTAATTTTAATCCTAATATTCTTTTAGTACAATTTTACACGTAGAGACAAAATTACACTTGAAGATTAAAGATAAAATTATACAAAAAAAAAGAGATTAGGGGTAAATTTGTGCTTAAAAAATAAGATTGGGATAAAATTGTATCAAATTGCACGCTAACTCAAAAATAAAAAGAAGTCCCGAGTTTGGCATTGGACGTGATATGGCAGCTATGGGGTCCTGAATTAGAAAAAACAAAGGATGTACTTCGCCAACCAGCTTGGTCCTATCCTAACCTAACCCTATGCAGCCAAATCGTCACAGGTCACAACACAACATCGCGATGGGGTGGCCGCTTATGGTGGTAATTAGGGCGAATTTCATTTAGCCCTCACTGTACACAATTAATATCAATTAACTTTCAAAAAAAATTATGAAATTTCGCTGCGCTCTCATAGACCAATATTTTATGAACGAAATGACAAAATTATCCTTGCTTCATTTCTTTTAAAAACATGATTGTAAGTCGCTGAATTTGAGTTGTCAATTCTTATAAATTTTATGGGTAAATGAACAATTCAAGTTTAGTGATTTACAATTCAAAATCAGTAATGCACAAGAAAAATAAAAGAATTCACAACTCTTAAATACAATTGTTTTGATACAAATGATCAACTTAAATTCGCAATTTATAATTAAAATTTGATAATTTGCAACCCAAAGCCTGCAATTTGCAAGAAATATAAAGAAAATCACAATCTAAAATAAAACAAGGGTGTTTTTGTCTTTTCACCTAAAAAATTTTGGTCTTTGAGGTGAAGCGAAATTTCAGAATTTTTTAGAGGCAGACTAATTATTAATTACGTGTCGTGGGGGTTTATTAAAATTCTCCCCAGTAACTATTCCCTCTACTCTGTTCTCATAATTAATTCAAAGTTAATGCCTTAGTATTCACATAAGACTTCTATTAAAATCAAGTAAGTATATAATTTACCCAGTTGAGAGCCTAATAGATATGTGCCTGAAGCTATTTTCGTCATAAAAACCAATTTTTAATAAACTAATTTACTGGGTGAGAATAGGAAAACAACGAAACAAGAATGATTACTACCTGTTAAAAGAATTTATTTTTAAGCTATGCTTATATTTTTTACTACATATGGTATTCTCGTATAAAAAGTAATCCTATTTGAATCATCATTATTAAGTACTAAATGTGAACTTTGATTTGATATACTGTAAGAGACTAATCTCATGCAGTAGACCCGGCCTCCATTGGTCAAAGGATCCTTGTTCAAAGTTCAAACAAATCTAAGTCTGAATTGGATCTATTTCACTTGATCTATGGCTTTACGGCCCAATTAAAATTGGCCCAATGTTTAGCCCGCCTCAACGGCTCAACCCCTCTTTCTCCTGTGTAACTCAGCGGGCAGCACATTTCAGTTTCCACCCCTCGCGCCTCCGCCTTCTGTCACACCGTTTATACCTCCGCCCACTACTACAGCGTCTTCTTCAGAAAAGAAGCAGCGAGCTTGCGTCGTAGTCACCGTTAACGCTTGCGCAGCGGTCTCGATTTTCCAGCAGGTTGGTTGGTCCTTCTCCTTCTTCACTCGTCGCCGAGTCCTAATTCCCTCTCTCTATTCCATGCTTTTTGAATTTTGATGGCGTCTTCTCGTGTTCTTTATCTCACGGCTATTGAGTTTTGTCCCCTTCATCCTACGTCCTTCTCCTCTGTTTCGCCGGGAACTGCTGCTGTGTATTTCGGATTTCGTGATATCTAAATTATCTGTTAAACTTTTTGATTTCACGAGCCTCATAATGTTCATTTTCCTATTGGTAAATGACAAGGTGGTCCTTGGCAATACTTGCTCCATGGAATGCTTCGACATTATTACCTTGACTTTCAGAAACTAGGGACAAAATACGTACCTAATGTTTCTAACCTTTTCTTTTATAATTGATTGATTCCTATCAATTGCGAAGTTTGTCAATTTGACATCTGATTTTAAGATCTAAGGCTCTGTTGCAATCTTGAGGAGTAACTAAGATCGAATGAAAGTTTCTGTTCTGTTCCTTTGATAAATAGACATTGCAAATATTAAGAGGCTAATGGGATACCTTTGTATGAACTTGTAAATTCAAAGGCAGCTAACACGCAAGTTATGCAAATTGAAGAGAATATTATTAGTTATTAGTGAATATTATTTATTAGTGTGGGAAAAAGGAGAACAATGTGGTAAAGATTTTGAATCTATGGTTTATATTCTTTCGCGAGTTCTATTTCTTGAGAGATCAAGAAGAGATACTTGCTGTACCGTGAATGTGGATTTAAATGGTGCCATAGACAGATATCTGGGCATCCAGGAACTGGTACGGGTAAGGAGGACCTTGTGTGGCACAAAAGGTAGGTGAGTATAGGTGCATCTGTGATGGCAGGAGTTAATGTGGGTTGGGGGAGGTAGATTTAGATAGTGGCTGCTATGGGATTTCAACATTGCAATTTTAAAGTTAAATTGATGATTTTATATTTATGTTCTTGTAAAATGAGGGTTGCAGGTTGGGGAGAGACAATGAAGCAGGTGGTAGGAACGGTGGTGTCAAACAAGATGCAGAAATCAGTGGTGGTGGCAGTGGATAGGTTATTCCATCACAAATTATACAATCGATACATCAAACGCACATCTAAATTTATGGCACATGACGAGAACAATGTCTGTAACATCGGTGATCGAGTTAGTAACATGAACTCATCCATCCCATGCACTGTTTATTTTTCCCCTCTTTAAATTCATTATCAACTTGAAATTTTTAAATTTTGGTTTTCCCCTTGCTTGATTCTGCCATTCATTTTTCACCAAAAAAGTAAAAAATAAAAAATAAACGTTTCTGCCTTTGCTATTTCAGGTTAGACTTGATCCTTCTAGGCCTTTGAGTAAGCGTAAGCATTGGACTGTTGCTGAAATTATTAAGAAAGCAAGAATTTATGTTCCACCATCTGCACCTGTGACTAAAGAGCCAAGTCCCAGCTCCGAAGCGCCTGCTTCCTAGTATAACATAGTTCTGAATGTATGAGTCAATTTTATTGGCAGCAGCATGCATTTTTATAAACCCCCCCCCCCCCCCAAAAAAAAAGTGAAAATCTCACACTATCTTGAATATTCTCTGGTGTGTCCGTGCGGGTGCGTTCTTACAACATTTATCTCTCATGTCGCCTATATGCAAATTTTTCATCACTCTTCTTACTTTGTCTCTTTTGTTATTTTGATCTAAGTTGATGGCAGTTAAATCTGGGTCACTTGTGAAATCCATGAGTATATCCCAACTACATGATGTATATGTTGGAGGGTCATTAATGTGCTGTAAATTCTTGATTAGGTTTATAAGTTGTTTGGACTGGGAGAAAGAAAATTGTGGGAGAATATAAAAATTGAGTATCATTATACTTGATTGATTAAAGCAGACAAAATTTTGGATGAGTTATCGGCAATGAATGGGTCTGCTGGCATTATCACTTTCTCTGCCTTATGCTCATAACCCCTAACAAAAGAGGATAAAGGGGAAGAGCAATTTCCTTGTTTAGTTTTAGCTTTTCCCTCTTGCCAAGATGGTCGATCTCCTTGTGATCTGATATTACATAAACTCCTTGTTGCTTCATTTTTTACTTGTTTTCAATGTGCTTATTGATGGGGAAAAGTGGATTCTTATTGTTTCAACTCAACACACGGCCTAATTATCCGTACACTTCAGTGATAAAATGAAACCCTCTCTTGGTAAATTGTCCTTGATAGTAGCTTGCTTGTGACTGGAAAGGTGGCTGCATGCATACAATGTTTGCGCCTTGACTTGACTTTTACCGTTCTGTACTTGTGTTTGTAAGCCACGGATATACTGAAAACTTGGACCTTTGCTGCTGTTTTCTTAGGCTAAATTTAAACCTTCTACTATTTGACGTTCTGACTTCATTTATAAAGTTTCCTGGCATGGGAAAATTTAGTGCAGCACACGTGAGGTTAAATAACTCCTATTCCATGGTATAAAATCAACTGGTTGCAACTTCTATACTTTACGCTCTTCATCGGATGTCGAGGCTGCTATTGTTTGTTGGATCTTATTGACATCATTGAAATGTATTGTACTGATTAACAGTGGATTCTTTTTATGATTAGAGTACAGATAGGATCATTTTTGTAGGAAGAATGGTGGCATTTTCCTGTCTTATTGTGCACGCACACAATGTGGTTTTCATTATTGAAAGAGTCCAATGTTGTTACATATAGATACATGCAGACACATATATATGGCCAATTTTATTTGGTGGGATAAAAATTGATGTTGTGCTGTGTTATTCATTGAAACACTGAAAACGTGTACGTATCAAACCTCAGGAATCACAAACTTTTTGGCCTCTCGGCAATGAGAAATAACTCATTTCATTCAGAATCTAAGTGATGCTTTCATTCGGAATTCTATTGACGTTGATGGCTTTTTTATGCAGAGGGCAAAACGTGAAGTTGGGGCATATATCAATTAAAACGGTTAAAATTAACATGTCACCAAACAATAGCGAAGTCCTACCCCTAATAGGAAGGAGGAGCAAACATCTTGTTATTAACATCTATATTATGAGCGTCATTATATATTTAATTTAAATACCATGTTATTTCAGCCGTGCCTTCGCCGCAGATGCTATGGGAAATGGAATTAGCATGGCAATGGGAGAATTAATATGTAAGCTCCGACAATAATGGATAATTAATTTGAAAACAAGGGTGAATTTCGTATATTTACATTGAATCTAAATTATAATGCATTGCATGAAACTTTTGAATAGTGAACATTTTATATTTTCATATTTCACATTGATATTCATAAATTTAAAAACTTTCTATAATGATTATTTTATAAATTAATTTGTTTCTTATTTAATGAGAATAACCCTTTATAAGCCTACTCGACTGTGCCGATGTATATTTTGATAGTAAAAGAAAAGGTTAGGTAATTTAGATTATTTCCCAAAAAAAGAAAAAAAAGAAAAGAAACTCAAATTTTGAAACCACCGTCTAGTCTTAATAGCAAAACTTGATGAGCAAATATAAGGGTTGATTTATGTTCAATTTTAATGTACTCAAGTTATTAGAATGTCCTCTAATTTTAAAAATCACTCACCTAGAGTTATCCCTGCTCCAAAAATCACTTATTTATCCCTAAAAAATAAAAAAAGGAAGTTGAAGGTACCATCCGTTTTGAGAAACATGATATGGGATATTTGGCATTGATAAAATGCAGCCGTAACTGTGTCTGCAGATTCTTTTGGTTCATGCATGTCTTGTTGGAAATACTTGTCACAAATATTGCAAAATCAACTTCACAAAAGGAAATTAAAAAAAATTAAACAAAGGGATTGTTTTGGGAGATATATATATATATATATATATCATAATTGTGTCCGCAGGTTCCTTTGGTTCATGCATGATTATACTATCAGGTAAAAACAAGTTGAAATTACCCTTATTTAACGCAAAATAATTTATTACTTATATAGTATTGTAATATTAAATTATGAGTTTAATTAATATAAAAAATGTCCATTCTTTAAAATTTACAACTATTAGTAAATTTTTTTAAAACATCTATCTTCTACCTTCAAGAGAATTCAACAACAAAAGGGGTCATAGAGAATAAACATATTTTTCTAGAAAAAAATAATTCAAACCATATCTTTAGCTTGGCATGACCGTACCAGAGACAAAGATGCTTCAAGAAAAGAATAAACATCTTTTGCATGTTGCCATAATAACTAAAAAAGCATCAAATTTTTTTCTCTTTATAAAGGAACGTTCCTGCAAGAAGAAGAGCTAAGAAGAGAATAAGAAGAAAGCATGGCTGAGAAATGGAAGAAGGGATGTATTAAGACTACTAAAGGCCCATGGATTGTTAAGAAAGTCAATAAAGATGGTTCTGTTAAACAGACTCAAAGGTTTCCAAGTGAAAGAGAGAGACAAAACAATAAGCTAAGAGAGAGGAATCGAAGAGCAATGACACGAAAAATATTTGCTGGTTTGAGAGCTCATGGAAACTATCTTCTTCCTAAACATTCAGACTCTAATGACTTGCTCATGGCTTTGTGTGAAGAAGCTGGTTGGGATGTCAAAAAAGATGGAACCATTTGCAGAAAGGTATCATTTTTTCCGACTGATATATCTTCAAGTCATGGTATATATCAGTTAAACAATACTAATACTAAACATATAACATGCTTATGGTTATGGAATGTTGCCTTTGAAACTAATGAGTAACTCATAAAAACAATGGAACCATATTTAATAACATTATTTAATATCTATTATTGGTTTTTGCAGGAAAAGGATTTAAATTCAGCTGACAAGAAGTGTCAATCAAACCTTACTAATGGTCACATAATAAATGAACATCTCCAATTTGATAAAGGATGGCAACAGAATGGGTTGATTCGGGAGTCTAAAGGCGATATTAACCTTAAACTCTCACTCTGAGTGAAAGTAAATGAGGATGATGATGGTGATATATTATAATAATAATAATTAGTGTTGTTCAGTTATGGATGGATAAAAAAAATATCCTTAATATCTTATTATATGTGTTGGAAAAAAAATCTTATTATATTTATGTAAGAGACAACTAAAAATACAATGTTATCTTATTCAAAAAGAAAACAATGTTATTATTGTTATCATTAAATATTAATATTTATTAACTAACATTAAGTTGATATCAATAGCTTTAGTTTGCTATGCATAGGTAGCTTTTATTGGAGGCAATCATATTCAACACATTATTGAGCACTAGATGTGAGCAAGTATCTTAATAGAGATTCGAATATTGATTCGCTACGTAATGAGAAAATAGCTTTAGTTCTTATTCATTTATATTATTTATTATTATAAATCATATTACATAAAATTATTCAAATTATACATGAATTTATTATATAGACGTCAGTATGACTCCCAACTTATATTCTGTATAATTTCTAAACTAAACTAAAAATTTTAAATAAACAATTTAGTCATCATTATCCGAATTTCTATCCCATTCTCATATTTTATTATAATAGTGACTAGTGATTTTTTATAATTAAAAAAAAAAAAACAAAGAGGAGAGAAGCTTCTGGTTCATTCAATAGCTTGAACTTATCTCTCAACGTAAGAAAAGAAGCAAATAAGAGGAGAAGCCGGTGCTGAAAGTTTGGGATGATTAGGAAATGTAAATTAAGGAGGATAATCACTGCTATTTACAAACTCAAAGCTTATTTATTTATTAGTTAATGATAATCAGAGATGGGTATTGGGACGTCAGTGTCTTGCTCCTTTCAATTCCTATGATTATTTTTACTGGAAAATCTTACCCCAAATCCAATTCTACCATGAGTTTCTGGAGTTGATTTAGATTTGGAGAAATTATGAAGATAAAAAGAAATGGGAGCAAAATAGAGGGGGAAAAACATATTACATCAGAGTTTATTTTAACCTAATTCTTTAATTTTATAGGGTGTCTTTTAAATCATCAAGTGTTGAAAATACATTATAAATACAAACATATTATATTTAATTTTTAAATGATAATGATTTGTTTTTGGACACCTCAAAATGATCATCATTTTCTATTAATGGTATTAAAGTTAAAAGATTAAAACGATACTTTATAAAATTAAGGAATAAAACCAAAATCTTACATAAAATTAGAGGGTCAAGTGTGCACTTTTGTCCAATAAAATATCTCCATCTTGGCAATATATTTTTTTTAAAAAAAAAATCTGCCACTTAAGGGAGTATTTATGTATTTACAATAAAAAAGTATTCTTGGTGTATCTAGATTATTTTATTGTGCAATACATTGGATAGATAATAATCTAATAATTTTTATTTGAGGGTTATATTGATTCAAATAAAATTGAAGTAAAAATTAAAAAATTCAAATGATAAAACATATTCAGAAAAGATAAAAAATAAAATTATAATGATCGAAACCAAAAAGATTTGATTTTGTTACATAAAGATGGATTCAACCATTGGAGTTTATCTCCGTTTAGTACTTGCGTCTGGGTTTGTTGTGATTTATTTAGACCTGTTTGGCATAGTAATAAAAATCTCTTATAAGCACGTTTCATATAAATTGAAACAATTCCTCTCATATATTTATTACTATTAAAAAACTATTTATAAGTTATGAATAAGCTATTCCAAACGGATTCTTAAATATATATACATATA